AGAGAGAGAGAGAGAGAGAGAGAGAGAGAGAGCTAATAAGTACATAAGCCCCTGACTTACCTATTAATCACATAATTGGCACCGCACTTTGTCAATTAAATTAACATTTAACTGTATTTAAATATGCAATCAAGTGAATCGTATCGCCCATAGGGTTAGTATTGGGTGTGGAATGAGATAATTATTAACTGTGTGTTTGATTTATGGCCGCTATAATAATAAATATATAAATTAATGAATGACAAAAATATCGCTGATGGTGATTAATGGAAAATTAATATAGGTGTTTGTGTGTGTATGTCTGTATGTCTCTAGGTGTAATTATTATTTATTTATATTTAAATAGGTTTAATAAATACCCATAACAAACAAATATACAGCAATATTTAATAATCGCTATTTATTTTGTGCCATAGATTTAGTGGAGAAGTCAAATGAATCGATGCCAGCGATCGTTACGATGAGAAACATGTATAAGTCATGCATGAATTTATGTAAGTATTTTCATTATGATTGATATTTTTATTACTATTTCTTGGTTAAAAATATACCCTTATATAACATGCATATGTATATAATGTAATCTAAATACACAGGTATATATAGATTACAGCAAAAATAACAATATATCGTTTCACTTTCACACATCTATAATTAATAAACAATTTATTTGTGTGTAAAACTTATATTTTTGAGGTGTTTTATTTTTTTTTACTAATCTCACACCATGATTATTAGGGATTTGATCAATTTACGTCACATTACTAATTATATTTATTACCTTAAGCTACATAGAATTTAGGTGTATTTAATAGTAGGGTACAAGGTTTACGTACAGTAACAAAATCATAATTTTTTTTGTTAATTTAATGAGATTTATTAAAATTAGTCAACCAATCAATTAATTAATACATTGAAATAATTAATTAAACTAGTATAATTAAATCTATATGACATTTTGTTCTATCATGTTCAATAAAAAGCAATAGTTTACTAAAAACAATAAAAATAATTAATACAATATTGTTTAATCCGTAGCCGCCATAGAGTCGTACGGCGCGGACCCACTCCGGGAGGCTTTGGACTCGTTGGGCGGGTGGCCGGTGTTGGTGGGGGACAAGTGGGACAACAGTACGTTTGATTGGATAGCAGTGAGCGGACAGATCAGGCGCCTGGGCTTCCGGACCGATATGTTTGTTCAATTCAAAGTTATTGCCGATGTGTTGAACAATACAAAGAAAGTGCTGTTTGTAAGTATACTCGCCCTGTTGTCCGGCTTATAAACCCCACGGATTAATATGCGGTTATATCTGATAGTTAGATGAGGCGACCCTGGGCCTCAGGCGCCAAATTATTACCCTGGGTCCAAACAACTCGATCGTTCAGGTTTACCATCAGCTAATGGTGGACACGGCTATGCTGTTGGGCGCCGACAATAAGACCCGGGTTAAGGAGGAGATGTGGGATGTGATTCAGATGGAGACCCAAATTGCACAGGTATGGTTAATGGAGATTTGATCAAGGTAGTTTGATGTATAATATGATAATTTGTTATATTTTTAGGCTACACATGATCCGGCACAGGGCGAGAAAAAACAATCCTGGTATTTGCATCTGAAAGCGTTTGCTGATGTGGCCAATCAAGTAAGTAGCTGCTTATTATGTTAAATTACGCTTGTTTAATATGATCAAGGTAGTTATTGGTGGTTATTATCTATTAATGTCTATTATTATTCTGGATCGTATTATTCAAATTAAACATCGAAAAGCTTATAATGTTCAATTTATTTTTATTTAATATTACTAACGTAATAATAATACTGTATATTAAACATTAAATGAACAAGGGTGTTGTAATCGTGAAAGATACCGACATCAATATTGATAATTTTACCGAGGGTTTGTTTCAATTTCCATTATGGATGTTGGTCAATACTGTGAGTTGTGCGCTACAATAATAATAAATAATTTATCAAGCACAAACTACTGTGATGTTCAATACAAGCACATAAACATACACATATTGTATTATATTATTTTCATAGCAATTACCTAAGTTAATTATTAGTTTACATATATTATTTGTTTACAATTGCAACTAGTTTCTTAATTAGATTTTTAAAATAATTTGACATGATAATAAAACAAGTCTAATGCTATTTCTATATCCTCAACAGTCGGAAGTGTTGGCCAGTAATCAGACACGTATGGGCCACGACTGGATCCGTTTGGCCAACGCTATTGTACAGTTGCCCGATAACATCACCGCCAGGGAACTGGTCATGGTAGACAATTTGAACTACATGGGCTACATTGATCACCTGATCAGCGTGTACAATCAGCATGATAAACGGTATAACAACGACACAGGCATTTATGCACCACTAAAACCTGTTTAATTGAATTGACTCAACTAGATTACTGGCCAACTATATGATGTGGCGACTGGCCCTCCAGGCTTTGAGCACCGGTAGCAAAGAAATGCGAGACATGAGGGACAATTTGCACCGACACCTGTACGGTATCACCGAGAAAATAGCCAGGTGGAAAACGTGCCTGTCCCAACTCACCGGGAGCTTATCAATGGCACTGTCTTCACTGTATATCAAACACTATTTTAATAGTACACTAAAGGGAAAGGTATGGCCCGGGAATCAGTATTAGTTGCTATGTAACAATTGTTGTAGAATATTAATTGGTTAATTAATTAATTTAATGATGCTTAAAATAATGAAATATTTTTATCATGTTTAAAAGGCGAGTGAAATGGTAACCAACCTGAGGGCCGAGTTTGACGACATACTACATAAAAATGATTGGATGGACAGCGAGACTAAGCTGAATGCGTTCAGAAAGAGCCAGATGATGAAGGCCGTGGTCGGTTACCCGCATCAATTGGCCAACGATACGCTGGTCAACGGGCATTACAAGACGGTAAATAATTTATTTTTGGCCATAAAATATACCGTTGAAAGTGAAACATTGTAAAACTTACATGGTGCTTGTTTTTGTAGCTAAATTTGACGGACAATAACTTTGACTTAAATATACGACGGCTCCGGAATTGGGCACAAAGACGGGAGTTTGAAAAACTACGCGAAGTAAACGACCCGCAAGAGTGAGCATTATTACCAAAAAAAATAATATTAATTTTATTAGTATTAGTTAATTGTTTATTGTAAAAGTTACTAATTTTTTTGATTTTGATTAAATGATCTAGCTGGCGCAATTTTGCCAACTCGGCCAACGTGAACGCGTTTTACTGGTCTCAGGCCAACGCCATTGTCATACCGGCCGGTATACTACGGGACGTGTTTTTTGACAACGATCGGCCACAGTATATGAACTTCGGCACAATTGGCTATATTATTGGCCACGAAATCACCCACGCGTTCGGTAAATACCATGTGTTTAATTACATTTTTAATTATTATTTAAATTACCTTCATGATTATTATAAAAACACTAATTTTAATATTATTTTTAATATTACCTGGATAGATAACATTGGCGCCCAATTCGATGAAATCGGTAAGCATGATGAAAATTATTTATATACAACACATAATAATGTGTATTTCAAAATAAATTAAACTAGGTAATGCCAGAAATTGGTGGAAAAACGAGACCAGGCTGCATTACAATTCAAAGGCACAGTGCATGGTGAAACAGTATAGCGGTTTCACGTTGACCAACGGGCTGAAAATCAACGGCGATCTGACCCTCAAAGAAAATATCGCCGACAACGGGGCGCTTAAGGAGGCTTACAATGCCTATGAAAAGTACACCGAGAAGTTTGGCCACGAGCTACAGCTGCCTGGTCTTAAATACACGCCTCGACAACTGTTTTGGATCAGCGCCGCTATGGTTAGTATTATTATTATTGAATGTTATGTTGAGTCCGGAAATATTCTGCACACTAATGTTAAACCTATGGGTAATTATTTAATGTGTTTTTAATTATTACCAGAATTGGTGCAGCAAATCGTCACCGGAAATGTTCAAAACCCGATTGGATACCGACACCCATAGCCCATCGCAGGCCCGGTACGACCATAATCAAAATTCTGATTGTTTACTTTTACTCATAAACCAACATGTTTATTTATTTATTTATTACGGTCTACTCCCGATAGAGTGAACGTGGCCCTGAGCAATTTCAAAGAGTTTTCCCAGAGCTTTAGCTGCAAACCGGGCACCGATATGAACCCCAACCCGAAAAAACGCTGCACTGTCTGGTAGTGCGAGTGTGAGTGAGTCCGAGTGCCCGATGGCGGGCAGGTGTGTGTGTGTGATATATTCATGAGCTACCAAAACAAATAAGCACAATTAAATATAATATATTTATATATTATATACATTTTGTACACTAATTACAATGACAGCCAATGCAAGCGTACGGTATAGTT